CTCCTGGCATGGGCTGCTATGGAACCTTTTACCTTCATCCAATCTCCCACTTTGCTAGCTTTTATTGTCATAGAGCTCTCATGGTATGGATGCCATCTGGTTCTTTCTGATGGTCAATGAGCCAGCAATGAGCAGATCCCATAGTCATTAGTGCCATGCCACTTGCCCTTTGGCCTTGGTCTTTAACTTCATTCTTACAATCCATGGAGGATCAGCATCATTTGGGGATTTTTTTCTATATGAGATCTTGGTTATTAACATATGACACTGAATGTCTACACAGTATGATTTGAAACCAAGGGGGAAGGGAGCTATGCTGTGGCCCAGACACAGCTGAATGTCAATGGTCATGGCATTCCAATTTGCTTTACTGGGGTTTGCATCACAGTGGAGCTGTCCTCCTTAAGTCTCACCAGGTGGTCTCCATAGCTGTGGGAGCCTGTTCTGGGGTTCCTCGTGGCTTTACCCAGCAGGTCCGCATAGAGGATGATCAGGACCACGGGCTTGAGTGCAGGTGTCTGAGATGGGCTGCACTTGGCTGTGCTGGGGGAGGAGGTCTTTTGCTCCACCCCTTGGCATCTCTATAAAAACCCTGGGCCAGAGACAGTCCGGGCCCGTTGGAATAGGTTCCAGGCCCTCTCGAGGCTATCCTTTATTTTCTATCTGTTTATCTCTGCAACATTCTCCACTATAAATCCTTCTATCTAATATTTCCTGCTGCTCGCACTCAAGAAAACTCTGGGAAGCTGTGGGGGTGGAGGGTAAACGCCCCCCAAAATGGCGCCGTGAACAGGGACTAAAGAAAAAAAAGGGACTAAAGAAAAAAAGGGACTAAAGAAAAAAGGGGGGAACCAATAAAAGGGGGGACTAAAGACAAATGAACAGGGACTAAAGACAAAGTAATAGGGACTAAAGATAAAGGAAAATAATAGTTTTATTACAGAGTTTTTGGTGAAAGTGCTGAGTCAGCCCTGCCAGTGGAAAGGCATGCCGGTGTTATGGATTATATATATTTTTATATATATTTTTTGGTGAGGCAGGGGTTTTATCCTCGAGAGAAAAGGAAAGCGGACTGGAAGGATGTCCGATGCTGCAGCGAAATTCTCTTCTGTCAAAATTTTCTATCTTCTATCCCTTTCTCAGTTTCTATCTGTAAAAAATAAGTACTGCCCTTCTCAGGAGATCCACTCTAGAGTTCAGAAAGAGAAGCACATTTAATTCCCAAGGCTCTTCTGTGATATTTCTTTACCTGCTCAGGCAGGTTTTCTTTGTTATCTGTGAAGACAGAGAGGCATCAGTGACTTTCTGAACTGTCAAAATATAGATGGGTCTAAGTTGGGCAGGATTCAACAGTAAGTACCCACTGGGAGGCTTTCACAGGGAAACGCTCCTGTAGATTCCCCAGGTCTTGTTGGTAATTTGGGGTGGTTGTCTGTAGTTGGATGATGGAAGAGAAACCATGCCATCGTCCTCCACAGCATGTCCTCCTGTTGCTGTGTGGATGGAGTCTCTGAGTTCCTCTGGGGCTCAGAAAATGGCATGCTAGTCTTCCAGGAAGGGGAGGGGAGAGGTGCTCTTTTCCCTCCATGTCACCAATGCTCAGTGTGCACACATGCAAGTCAGGAATTCTCGGGGTCCACGATTCAGGATATGGCCAGGCACCTAGAAGAAAAAGCTTATCTTAGATAATGGATGAGGCTGGCAGAAAGATTCATTCACCACGCTAGACCTGTGGCCTTTCAGATAATAACTGGTTTATTTTGGTGGAATTCAGGACCTAATGAGGCAGGAATAATGACATTTTTCTTCCCATGTGACTTCCTGTGGGAGAACTCAGTGGGGTCTCCTTGAGAAGCCCTGATTGCAGGGACTGGTTTGTCCTAGCTGCTCTGCTACTGTCCCATAAACAGGCTCTAGGATCAAGAAGGAAACGCAGTTTCACCAACATGTCTGTGTCTAGACGCTGTGCTTCCTGCACCCAGCTCACTGAACACTTGCCTAGATGAGACAGGATGCACATATGGTGAAGATGAGGTTTGTCTGAACATATCCTCCAGAACCGGAAGATCTGAGGAAAGAAAGGATGTCAATGAGAGATCTGGGGTTGACCTCTCAGATACAAGAGACTCAGGCTGTAACCACAATAGTCATCCGATCTGTATCAATGACCTAAGAGTAATTTAAACATTCCCAACCAGTCAGACTGTGCAAAAGAGCAAGCTACCCGGCATCAAGTGGACTCACTTTTTTCCATAAGGAAGTGAATATTACTGAGCAACTTTGGGGTAGTGTGTGGAAAGTTCTTGGAACCAAGAGCATGTATTGTCTGCACCTGTTCCTGCTGCCTCCAGGAGGCAGGCAGTGGGGGAAGGAGGGTGTTGAGTGTGTGAGTCTGATCATAAGCTGACTTCTCTCACATAACTATCTAAAGGCGACCACATGCTCCATGCAGTGGCCAGCGATATAAAAAGTTCACATTATACTCACCTGGCCTCTTAGGCATCAACTCTGTTTCTTGACTTCCACATTCTCAAAGACCATTACCAGGGTTTAGGGCCCTGGTGCACATGTGCTGTCTCCTGAGAGTTTGCATGCCTGGCCAT